TAAACCCCAGCATTTTTTAATGCAAGTTTACGTCCAGTAGTTTGCCACTGCTTTCTGGACGGTCGGCTTCTCGAAACCACTGCAAGGCCCGAAGCTGGGATCGAATCCGGCATTACGAAGCATGTTCGCAACGCCTAAGCCACAGATGTCTGGTTGACATTTTTCAGGGTGTACTGTATGAATGTTGAAAACTGTTTATTGTAGCAGGTTTTCAGATTCATGCATTCATCAGTCCTTGTAACTTTGAGTTCAGGCATGCACAAACTTTAATTCATTAGTTCTGCCAATCAAGGTTTTTTTTTTTTCTTTCTTTCTTTAGCAGCTTCTTGTGTAAATGCTTGTTTTGTTTTCTTTTGTTCTACTGTTTATGCCATAGAGCATCACAGAGGAGTCCATGTCGTTTCCTGTTTTTTTTTTACCAGTTCCGTTAGCTGGTGTTTATTTAATGTCATATTGTGTCACTATATTGTTCAACCTCTTGATATGTAGCCGCTGCTGTTCTTATGTTGTACGTTCTAGCTGCTGGCTGATTTTGTTCCATTCTGACCAAACCATTTGATTTGTTGATGATATTCTGTAAAATCATTTACCAGTACTGTGCCTACTATTGTTCTTAGTTGGTGACTGTCTCTTTGTGTTTTTCCTGCCACTTTTTTCATAAATCTCATCGCACATGTGATTTTGCAAATAGGTTTTTCTAGCATTATTCAGCTTGTTAACATGCTTGAAATATTTGATACTGCAGAGGATAAATACTGAATTATTCTCTCCCCCTACAGAGAACATACCATTAGCAAACACTGACTGTATTTTTGCTCGAGGAACCAGTTTCCTTGGACACAGACCTTTTTCAGAGCACCGTAGCTCCAGCAACAATCCCCAGGGATGTCCGTTTAACAAACTCATGACCTTTAGGCGAAAGAAATGGCTTGACCACTTAACTACGGAGACCTGCAGTGTGTTTGTGTGTGCAGTTTACCTTTGGGGGGGGGCCTGCACAGTAAAAAAAATTTTTTTTTTTTTTTTTAACTTCTCTGCAGTGAGTGACTTTCATACATGTGCACAACAGCACCATATTATATTGTATGAACTCCAGATTGTGTGAAAGAAATGTTTTGAATGATTATTTCATCATTAATTGCGATTTTATTTTTGAATTTCCGAATAAACGCATTTGTATGTACATTCTGCATTTGTCTATGATTACTTGGCAAAGAACTGTCCGTGTCATCGCCACCAACTTCCACTTTTGTTAAGTATTGTGGTAGTAGTAGTTTGTAGTCTAGAACTTAGGGAGTCTCGCACTGGCTATTTTCATTCAATATGGACGTAGATTGTCTTTAAACCCTTTTGCCTCATGAATGCTGAAAATATATGGGCCATGAACACGTAGCAATTTTTTTTTTTTTTTTAATCCTTTAAAGAACCTAGTTTACACGTCTAACTAATAAACTGTCTACAAATTTAGCTGTCTACATTTGTTAAATGTTTGTTTCAAAATATGTAAAAGAATTAACCAGTAAACAAAATTAGAGGGAAGTATTAAATGGAATGTATTCCCCAGGGCCTAAAACAAATATGTACCAGGTAACTCATGCCCTGACCTTTATCACTGAGGCTTACCGGACAATGTTAAGTCAGCCTGGCTGAAAGCAATTGATAGGAAACTTCTAAATGCTATATTTAATTTACATCAGGCCCCCTAAACACTAAGCAGGCATACACATAAGACCCAATGGCATCCTAACTACCCTTTTTGAGAACAGGTCACTGCGTAAGGGACGATACATCAGCATTTACAGGGAGTGTCACAGCCAGAAGTGACTAAATTTATCCTTTTTGCGGTGGTAGATTGTCCATCTTCTCCTATGTGCTTGCATACCAGATGTGTTTTTTTTAAATAGATGTAGTACCTGTTGGTAGTAGTGGCTGCATTCTAATCATAAATAAACCATTTGACCTGCTTATCAGAAGATCAAGGTGTTATTCTGAGCATCATTGCTCACTCTCGGGTCTGATGGTTAAATTAGCAGTCTTCCTCCGGTATCTCATCTCACATGTGTTAACTTTTAAGTGATTGTGTGAGCCATTCAGAGAATGAAAAAGTGAGTAGCAAAAGCTAAATTCAGAATCCGTTAAAAAATTATCACTAATTACTAGCATCAAGAAAGCTAATGGTTGGGGCATACAGAGAGAATGGCAAATAACAGACAAGAACTGCCTTCACGAATGTTGAATGGCAGCAGACTATGAATGAGGAAGACCTACAAAAGTCACACAAACTGAAAGGGGAAGGCCAATCACAGATAAATGGAGGCTAGTAATATAGGCAGCAGTGAACCTGAAGATGTCCCAAACTTGGCACTGCTAGCAGTGTTGGTATGAGTATGTTCATAATTTGCTGCTTGGCAACCATACGTTTGGATATCGTAATAGTGTCAGTTGGTATATGGGCGAATACGAGCTGTTGGCTGACCTCATTAGCAAATATGGACAGACAAATTTGTCTGGCTATGTGATGTTAAAATCTTGACCACGGTCTTGGTACCTTTTAGAAAAATTAGGCTACATCATACAAAAGATTTTTGGTAATTGTTTGTCCAGGATCCATGTTTCATTCAAAGCCTGGGTACATCTGCCTGAGAGGTGAGGAACCAACAGTCTGCACACAAATTAGCGAGATCGGTAAAATGCATATGTACACGAACTTCAAATTTTAGAACAAGACCAAAATCTGGTCATGGTAACCAGCCAAAACTTTTTTTCTGCCAGTGAATGCAAAGAAGAAATATCTAGGAAGTATATTTTTGGAGTACAGCAGGATAGATAAGGAAATAGAAAGGTGCCAAAGGGCTAGTGTTGTATTTTTTTTTAAATTTAACTGCTTCTACATCTCAGTGACAAATGTCTTTCTTATAGCTGAATCAGCTTATGTCACAAACACGCATCTCTAGAATATAATTACCACAACAGATCGGTGTAGTATACAGTTAACACAGAACCACTTTTATTGACTGACTACATAATATATACACCCAAACTGGACAATACATTTTGCATATTCACATCGTCTCATCCTTAAGATGGTTACAAAAGAAAACTTTTGAGTCTGTAAAATGTGTTTAAGCTGTTTCTTTAGCATTATAGTTTCAGATCATTTAAGAGCAATAAACACTTCCTAAATTAAGACTTCATTGGTTTGTGTCTCATATCTTCTCTTCAATATTTGCTTTGTACCACTAGATGTTTCAGTTTAACATGATCGCTAGCCCAGCCAGTACACGTTTGGTTGCTTGGTATGCTGTGAATCGCAGGCTGTCAATGATTCCTCCAATCAATTTCTTGTGTCCCCCCTTTGCTTTAAAGTCCAATATCAAAAGGTGTCAATTATTCACAGAAATATATTTCTGACCAAAGATGAAAAGTCCACTAGGCTAGCAGGAGACCTGGAAGTTAATTAAACTGACAGCTGACCTAGGAAGTTGAACACACATCTGTCCTGCATACATAAACTTTCACCCCAACACAGAAAACCTAAATGTGTGTACATTTTCTATCTACAAAAGCCAAGACTAAATCTTGCTTCAGATTACCAGAGATTAAACGACGTCCCAAAACAATAAGTATTCATGCATGGCCTCAACAACGAAAAAATCCAGCACTGCTGCAAAATCACAATACAAATAGTTGGGACAACAAAATTAAACTAAATAATTAGAAGCAGCTTCAGATCCTGGTCGAGTGGATGCGTGGTAGAGATCATAAATTCACATTTATGCGTGAAGAACAAATGTGGAATGTAGTTCAAAAAAATGTTAAAACAAACAAAGGTTTCCTGAAGAAAAAAAATTGATCATTTCTTGTTTTGTGCATATTAGGAAACATTTGTTTTTCTGCAAATTTTGTTGTGCATATAAAGAACCTCTTTTTAGCAAAAGCTTTGGGTTTATGAGAAAACTGAAATCAAAGTTTGTGTGCAGATTTGAGACAATCTGTACACCAAATACGTTTTAAAAAACCCAGATCTTAATGTAACTAACAGATCAGATTTAACAGATAAGCTGTTACTATTTAGCTATCTCAGCAACACTAAAGAAAAGGTATAATCCGTAATGAATTTATAGACAATATCATGCAGAGTTATGAATAAATACACATAGTTCTTGTTTACAAAAAGTATCATATGCAGTGAAATAATTCAAAGAAAAAGTGATTTACAAAGTTTCAGACATGCCCTTCGACAAAATAAATGTCAGCCTTGTCAATAGATATTCTAACCGGACCATAAATGATCGGTCAACCTTAAGCATGCTTTGCCAAACGGCAGGTTTTGAGCACCAGTGGATGGCCATCTTAGTCTTACAGTGAACATTTCTGCAGCATAACAATCACTGAACACGGATCTTTCTATGACAAGTTTCAGCATACTGCCTAGATTATATAATAGCAGCATACTGCCTAGATTATCTACAAGACTGAAGTTATATATGCAAAAGAGCACACAGACAAACAAATAAATGAAATATGTGTTATCCAATGACAACCATTACCTGTTTTATCTTTCATTATTTTGTGACTCTGAACATTTCTGAAGTCTTTTTCCCCCACAGAAATGATTACCAACTACCAAACTCATTTTTGACATTTAAACATTTTATTTCTCCTATATTTTTTTTATAAACATCAATCCTGTTACATACAATTTCTTTCTGCTTATTTTAGCTGAAAAATGTTTCCCTTGTTTTTATACCACAGTACCTGAATTATTTGTGCTTAAGAGGAAAAAAATAACTTTCCATACAAAGTATAAGAAATAAAAAAACTGAATCACAATACAACAGCCATTAATTTTCACATGTTACATACAGCAAGTTCTACTCCCATCATCAAAAAACACTGAATTATAACCAAAAAGTTCATGTCTAGTCGTAATATTCCACTTGTTTCACCTTGAATGGAGAAGGGTTGTATCAGCGTCCGTGAAGACAGAGCAGTTTAAACTACTTCACTGACAAAATGAGTGCCACAATGAGACCGTATAAACCCAGCACCTCCGCAAAAATGAGGATCAAGATCATGCCGACGAATAACCGAGGTTGTTGTGCTGTGCCTCTGACACCAGCATCTCCTACAATTCCAATAGCAAACCCTGCAGCCATGCCACTCAACCCTACACTCAGTCCAGCACCTAGATGAAGGAAGCTCCTAAGAAAAAAGAAAAAACATTATTTCAACTTGTTTATGCTTATGTTTATAAAAGAAACAAAAAACACCTAAATTCATAATGTGTTTGAATTGACACAGCACTCAGGACACTCTCTTGAGTACCCCGTACCCGTATTTAGCAGCAAGCGAAGAGTTCCAATTCTGATGGCATCAGTCACTGCCGTCTCATCCTTCCCCTGAGTGTTGTGCACCGGATCACTTGGTATCTTCTCGCAGCGCCATACTCCTCAGACTAATGATCTCTTCACATTGATCACTCGTTCCTAAATGGCCCTCACAATATCTAGCTTGTCATAACATCAGTTCCCCGTGTGGGTTCTGGGGCCCCATTGTGGGGAAAACAAGAATAGACTCACTGCCTCCCCAAAAGCATGTCGTAAGAGTCGACTAATTGGGGAGCTTCCTTTGAAGTCGGAGTGCATCTGCCGGAGAGGCAAGGAACCGACAGTCTGTATTCAAGAGAATGAGATCTGTAAAACTGATGCACACGCAACACTCAGGTTCTGGAGCAGGACTGCAGTTCAGTAGTGGACGAGCAACCAGAACCTTCCGCCAGAGTGTAAAGCTGGTGAACGCGAAGAAGAAGAAGAAGATAACATCAGTTCACCACCAAGTGGTGCAGAGCAGGAAATATGGCAGAAAATACTGAAATCTGTGCAATTAGATGAATGAGAGCAGGGTTTGTTTGAGATGGTGGAGAGATCATTTACATGCCGACCTACAAACACGTGACAAGAAGTAATCATAAGGATAAATGGAGATCGTGATATCTCCAGCACACACAAAAACATGGACAATGAATGCTAAAATTATTTTCGAAATTACCTTAATACAAAAAATATACTGGATTAATATCTAAAGACATATTTAAAGGCTAATTTTTAAAATGTAATATCTTGGAATAAATAAAAGAAGTGGTCATTCAAAATGAAAAGCAATTCAAACCAATGTTTTCCCCTTCTAAATTTAAATAAGGCAGACATAAACAATACATTGCACAATTAATTGTCTGGCATATTTAGCTGTATCTCTTCAGGTGCATTACTACAGTGTTAAATCAACACATGACGCACACAATGAATCGTTTTGTTGAAATGCATAAACCACACGGTCAAGTTGCTGTTCCTTTGCCATAAAGTCAAAATCAGTCACGTGATTACCAGGGTTGCTTCGAATTGATGCGCGATCTTTCTGTTTAAACAACACAGAAGAGTGGAGTATTACTGATACAGCCTTGATATTTGTTTGCCATTGATGGAATAAGTCGGTCATTATAAGTTGGCTATACAAATTTGAAATTATTACATAAGGTATTTCACTAGCCCACACCTAAACTGGCTACCGTGAATACCATGACTTAACCGCTGCACACCCTCTCTCTCACAATGTGACAGTCACATTTGATCACTCTAAACATAGCTCAGTGCAGCATTAAGCACTAAACTCAGCAGCTCAGGCAGCGAAACCATAGACTACCGTCCATTTGTGGAAACTGCACTAGCAGAGCGCTGTCAGAAGCAAAAATCACTTTAAAGATAAAACATTGTCACGCCTAGTCCTCCATTTTGGAAAAGAATGGCAGTGGTCTCATGGCCGACAATTGCAATTTCCCGATACTGCCAGATATTTTAACAAAATCAACCAGCACCTAGAGTGTACTACATGAGAGCAAGAAGGCTGACCAAGAAAAAGATGAGTGGGCGGAAAGTAAAAGAGATGCAATATGACATTAACACAAGTCACGCAATTAGCAAAATATATGAAACGAAATATAACTTCTATCAGCAATTTTTTGCTGCATAAGCAGCAGGATAAAAATAGAAAAAGCAAGATAATTTTCAATGTTCAGAACAGGCACACAGACCTATCTTTCTCCCTGACGGTAGGAAAGTTGTAGGGGAGGCAGAGAGAAAATATGCTGGACAGTTTGAATATCTTGGCATGGAAGATCATCTTTGTCAGAGTTGATTGAAAGTACATGAGACAGAAGGTTGTGGATAGACATGACTAACAACAGTCACACAACATGGACTTTAAGAAGAAGTGTCCAGTCAACCTTATCTAGGATCACAAGAGAATAACAGAACCTACAAGATTTCTTACCAATATTCCTACATTATGTCAGCTTCAGAGTTTAAAAAGTAAAAGGAAACCAAGATATGTTAAGTTGTGAAGATCTATACCATTGCACCGGATTGTATCCCAAACGACTTTGCCTCTGCCTGCAAAGAGTGCCGCACAAAGCAGCGACCACCTCCAGGGAAACTGCATTCATAAAAACTGTGCAACACTGCTTGACCACTTTGCCATGGAGACCCCTCCACCAAGAAGAAAGAATTGTGCAAACCGACTGCTTAGACCCCTCCACCAAGAAGAAAGAATTGTGCAAACCGACTGCTTCAATATGTTCTATAATCTTCACAAATATATTGCCAGAACTTACTTGTAGAGTGTGTAGTTCTCATTGATGTCTTGTGTGATGACCACAGCAACCACAAGACCATAAATGGCAATGATACCCGCCATGACGACTGGAATGACCGACTTCATGATGAGTTCTGGTTTCATCACAGCCATGGCTGAGATTCCAGTGCCTGATTTGGCCGTCCCATAAGCAGCGCCCAAAGCTAGTAAAGTAAGCAACAAGGCATTCATATAGCACGGTTGATAGTCATTACAATTAATATACACTAATAAAATTAAAACAAACAAAATTTTAAACCAAAATGAAACCAGCAATGAGTTGAAGCACCATAAAGAAGCTTCAATTCAATGGTGCCAAATACTTTGGCAACAAGCACTATACTTGGCCTAATGTTCACAAATTCATATATTCCCCTGCATTGAAAGCAAATTCCACTTGGTGTTTCCATGTTCATGTTGCATGCTCTCGCTGCAGGAAGCATTGCATTTATTCTCAACAGTGTATTAAAATATTTATATCAGATACAATACTCATACAAATAATACTGCAGGAAAACGAACGCAAAACATGGACAGTTATACAAGTGGGAGGACACCCTAAGGAAATGGACAAGGAAATGCCACATGATAAATGCTCTGAGTTCAATCCTCTGCAGTTTCCTGGCCAAGGCAGGTCAGCTCTATAAATATCAACTTTACCATTTTCAGACGTCTTCTTCTTTGTTCACCAGCTGTAAGCTTCAGAGGAAATTCCTGGTCGTTTGACCATTTGGACTGTCTGTGTGCCAGATGACCTTTACCCAAATATGCACATCTCAATACCACATAAAGGTCAAAGCAGTTACTGTCATTTGGGTGTCACATGACATCCAAGGTGATGTCCTAAATTCAGCAATGATGGGCAATGCCGCAGTACAAGACAATATTTATCAGCATCAGCCTCTCTTGTTCAAGACTAGCTCTACCTTCACATGCTGGAACCTGTTCTCCCTTGGAACACAAAAAAAAACAACAGTCATCACACAGCTCACTACATGGATGAATACGCAACACATCCCATGTAGTCCGCCCAGCTCCCTTACTTGTCCCCTTTTCCGGTAAAACAATTCTGATAATAGCCTGATCCCTATTTTTGTAGGGCAAGGTCAGCCCCCGAGCTGTAAGCAAAGAATCATTTTTTCACCAGTGGTGCATCAATCAGGCATACAATTTTAGACATTTTTTACACACCAATGATGGGTGATGTGGTCAACATCACCCTGGCAGCCTTTACTTCACAGGACTCTGCCTATTATCCTTACAGACTGGGTCAGCCTAGGTCATTCTTTGAAAAAAATTAAGTATGGATTTGAACCCACGACCTTCAGGCTGAAAAGTATAAAATCTAGCCATTGCGGCTTACAGTCCAGAGCTCTGCACTGGTAAGAAAAAATGCCTCGGTAGAAAGTACTGTTCTGGCAGAGAAGCACACTATTAGGTAATCATTAGTGGTCCCTAACATTAACTTTCCTTATCTGGGCTCCAGGGCCACATCTGGGGGCAGGAGAGAGAGACTAATTCAGCGGGTGGGGAGCAGACAGGTCTGGAAAATACTCAACAGAGAAATATAAGCAGAAAGTTCATCAGGTTGCAACCGGTGTATTAGTAAACTGACTACTCTTTGAAAGCATACGTTGGTATGTCCTGAGTGCAAGGATGTTAATTCTTGATTAACTGACTGGGGGCGGGGGTAATAAACCCACTGACAAACAAGCATTTCACAGTGGTCAAATTCTTCAGTTGGGATGCATCTGCCTTAGCCTTAGAGGCAAGAAACCAGTACACAAATATTGAAATAATCCAGATCTGTAAAATGGGCCAGACTTGCATACAAAACTAAAGTCCATAACTTTCCACTGAAAATGAGTTTTGCAGAGCTATGCGCTACTCAGCTCGTTCCACTGCAAGAAGAGGGAGTTGTCTCTCAGCCTGTGGGAAATCTTGATTACCTGACTGTCAATTCAATTCACTCAAAACTTCTTCATCAATGAGTCCTCGGGATTTCAGATCAGTAGATAGCGTTTATTTTACATATATTAGTATTATTAGCATTGTACTAGCACTAAATATATGAAATCGTACAGATATATACATTTTTAGTAAGAATAATAATAATGGCAAATTCTGACATAATATATTAACAAACAATCCGACAACCATTCAATTTGCAGCCTCCATTTGTTACCCACACAAAAACGAGGAATAAGTTAACTCACCGCAAAATGAGATAGCAGATGTGACACCCATCACACCAAAGAATGGTGAATATGGGGGAGCATTCATGTCGTATCCCTTTTCCATTTTTAGAGGTTTGGTAGAAGCTGGGTTTACTGCTGCAAAAATTTATTCAAAATGAACGACCTTAGTGAACAGCCAGCAGAAGATGTCGTGTGACGTCGTCGGTCATGTGATCATGTGATCTCGGCGGAAGTCCGGTCTGCGTTTGTAACAGCCCTTTTTATTAGTTAGGATCTTGGCTAGGTCCAATGGAAAGTCGCGATACATGAGGCTTAAATGTAGTCATGTGCTTCCGGCGTAATGTTGAAATTGTAAAGGAAATAGAATAGCAGAGAACAAAAGGGGCAAAACAGGTTTTAAAGACGTGATCTAGCATTGGGTGTTTGATGGGAGGCAGGATCTGACGAGATATCTTCTCAGGGGCGCCGGGACCAGGGCGCTCAGGCACTTTGAGGCCCTAAATATCTTGAGAGTAGACTGAGCTCCAACCTTCCCGTAAAAAGTTTGCAAAAAGGTGGAGGGAAGGGACTAAGATCCCCCACCAAAAATGAATAGAACGAAGTTCATTTTTTTTTAAACTTGTTTACCCATTCTTATTCTTATTCCACACAGGGTTCACGGCTGAAATTCCCGAGGAAAGTTCTGTTGGTGATCCACTTCTGGTCTTTAGTCTTGTTCCAGAATTTAAGTTTTGAGCGTACATCCGTTTTACAGATCTACCTTATTTAATGCAGACTGTTGGTCCTTGCTTCTCATGCAGATGCACTCCAACTTTGAAGGAAACACCTTTATGAGTCACCTCCTGTGACACGCTTGTTAGGGCGGCCAGTGGGTCCCTCACAATGGAACCCAGACGATGGGATTTTATTTATTTGTTTATTTATTTTTTAATATAGAGGGACATTTTTATAATATATTCTTCTTCTTCTTCTTTCGTTCACTTGAAACAAGTTATCTACATCTGCAATGTTCTTTTTAGTAAGAACTTCACTGTCTCTTGTAATTCACTTAGCGGCCCGAAAAGTTTGGCGTTCACCAGTGTCTCTCTTGGCCAGAAGTTTTGCCTGGACATCTTGTAAAGAAGGACAGTCTTGGAGAATATGACCTGATGTCTCAGGTGCCAGTCCACACGTGCACATGGCTAATTCGCCAATTTTAAATTTTCTGTACACAGTTAGTTAGCTAGTTAATCGAAATATTATCCTCACTGAACATCCATAACACACCCATTAGCGCTTGGATCTTATCTTCAGTATATCCCCAAGCGTTTGGCGACTGACAACACCAGTTATGTGTGAGTTTACTAACATTCTTTGGCTACCTGTGTGGTGCTCATGTTTGGTGACACCTCTTTTGATCTGAAGTTCTTGTGGTCTTTTGGATGTTGCCGATTCAAGGTAGCCTCCTAAATCATCTTCTCGTCCTGCCTCCTTGTGAACATTTAGAATATCGGCCCGGTCCATTGATTTTCCTGTACCTACTGTGGCCCTGTCAGTAAGCCAGTCCACTCGTTCATTCCCTCTTACTCTAGAGTGTCCTTGCAAAAAACTGAAACAATCATTTTCTTCGAATCCATCCTGTTTCTATCTTCTTAAGCATGCCCATGGAATCGCTTAGAAAGCATGTATAGAAAAACTGCTGGGTCTCTAGCCACATCATTGCTGTTGTTACCGACATCAACTCTAAAGTCACACTTCTTGTAGTCGAGGCAAAAACCCCGCTTTCTTCTTTTACAGTTTTTCCCTTGAACCAAAACATTGAAAGGCCATGAACTTCGTACGTGTCCAACGACGGATCCGTCAGTTGAGATAACTGCACCTTCGTCAGCAGAATTTTAAATAATTCAGGCTTGAACTTCTGCCTCAACCAACAACGGGCCTTGTCTGCAATCTCTACACAGTTTTATGCAGACTGAAAAAGATATACCCCACTCTGCTGGCACTCATATCCATTCCTCGCCAAGTTCTATGTCCTCAAGTGAACAAACGTGTTGAATAATGTTCTCAGCCGGACTCACCTAGGATTTTCCTCTTTTCGACCTGTTACCCTACTTTCTGCGAATCTCACTGTGCAATGGATAGTGTGTATCAGCACTGATACGTAGATACGCACGTGCTAGGCAGATCACTGCTCTCACTTCTATGGTTGGAAGATCAAGGATGTAACGCATCGCTCTACATGCTGTATTTTGTGTGCGTCTAAGTATAATTCACATGGCCTCTTTCTGTATCAGATCTAGTCTGTCTGTCTGTGTACGGCTAAGAGTCAGAGTCGCCAGGGCGTACTCAATTACAGAAAGTATCAGACTCTGGGATAAAAAAAAAATAGGTGACCTTGCTCACAGTTTGTCGCAGTCATAATCCTTAGCGCTGTCAAACCTCCCTTTGCCCGGCTCTCTAGCGTAGTTGGCTAAACCGGATTGCGCAGTGACCTGGTGACGAACTCCTTGTGGTCCTGGTTCACTCCCAGGGTTAGGCAGAAAAGCCACATCTCTCCCAGATGTACGGTATTTACAATGGAATCAAGGCCGAAAGGTTGCGATATCCATAATACCGAGCCTAAAGGTTAACAACCCATGGCTTCTGGATACTCAAACAAACAAACCTCCTTTTAAATCATTATAACTTGGTTCACACGCTCGTAAAAAAGTAAGACTACGACTAAAACACACTCCTAAATACTTCACGCAACGAATTCTCTTAATGGTCTCCGAACACAAGACTCACAGCTGGTGTTAGTGTGTTCGTGTGGCTTCGAAGTCGATTGTTCCCTGTTCTGAGGCGTAGAATATTGACTTTTTCTGGTTGATCTGCAGAGCTGTTTGGCCTGGTGGATGAAATTGCTTCTCTTTTTTTTCCCGCCCAGTTGCTGAATTTTGGAATCTTTTATTCATATGGTGTTTAGGCATGCTAAGAAACTGTTCTGCTTGAATTATCATCTGGGCGTCTTTGCGTTCACTCAGTGTTGATTTCATACCGCCTGTTGTGATTGTGAGGGCTTGATTTTGCACTTTATCTAACGCTTGTAGTGTGGTTTTTTGATGATGAACTTCATGCTGTTGATCCGTATTCAAGGCGTGGTCAAACATTTTGTTGATTAATAACTTTCCTAAGTATTTTCCCACTAGCACACCACGTGGTTCCACTCAGTTTTCTTAGGATAGCTACCCGCCTTTTGGCTTTTGTTGCTGCCTTGTTGATATTTTATCAGATATATAGCTGGTATTATCCAAGGAGTTAATGAAATCCAGAAGACTCTGAATTCTGTATGCAGTCAGATCTAGTAATTAAAGGACCAGTCTTTGCTCATAAACTAACTTGGCACTCACCAAATGGAGTGACTAAGAATCAGATGGACCATCTCTGTATAAATAACAAATACAGAAGTTCTTTGATCGATGTCCCAGCAGCAAAAGGAGCAGCTGTGGGCCGTACCACATCTTATGTACTGGAAAACTAAAGCTTAAAATGAAAATACCGGCCCCAAAAAACCAAGCACCCCCACCCCCTTTTTTAAAAAAAAACACCTTTTCCATTGCCCAAGAACAGTAACAATGACAAAACATGTACAAACACAGAATAGATAGTCTAAGACTTCGCAATATTGAAGCAAGAGACGAGTTCTAGCTTGAGCACACAAACAGATTTAAAGCCCTTGGAGTGAAGGAAGATGAGAGCCTTGAGGCTTAATGGGATCGTGTAGAGTCCATACTTTTAGAAGCAGCGACGATTACTGCACGATTAAAGAAGCATAAAGGAAAACCTGTGGTGAGTGCTGACACATGAGAGTGTATTCAGAAAAGAATGACGTTGCAGCTTGTTCTATGCAATGCGAAAACAGAAACAAGTAGTAGTAGTAATATTGTCAAAAATATCCTGTTCAACACTCAGGGTTATATTTAGGCTACATAGTGTTAACTGAGTTCTCATAGTATTCGTTTGCTATTTTAAATTTTTTATATTTAGTAATTATCTATGTGACTAAAGTTTGTTTCACATTTTGCTTTGATTTGGAATGTGATTATGATAGAAACTGTACTATGAATAGTTCAACCATATTACTAATTAATCAAGTAACAGAAAGTATTGTGAACGGCACTCATAGAAAGAAGTAGAAAGATAGAAGAAATAAACTTTCGATTTTTATGTTGTCTAGTGTGTTCTTCTATCTTTCTACTATCTTTGTTCTGTGATGAGGTGCTGTGCATGGACCATGCACAGCACCTCATCACAGAACAATATTACTAACATTGTGTCATTTACATTGGTGGATATTTTGTTTCTTCAGTGTGCAACCATTGATTATTCCTCTAGATTTCATGAAAAAGGGGGGGGGGGGCAGAAACAAGAAATCAGGACTAAAGGTGATTACAACAAGAAAGAAAAATCAACTACAAAGTTGTGCAAGGTGAGATAAGAGAACATACGTTGATGGACTAGCTAAAGGGGGAAAACAGGCAGCTAAGAGTGGTAATACTACAATACATTAAAACAGTTGACTAGTACTTTCAAATTGCGGAGTGGTCCAAATACATGTCAGAATGGTACATTGCTTACATCTGATGAACTTAATCCGGCCATACCAAAGACCGAGATCTGTAGAGAGCAGGGCTTTAAAATAACAAAAAATTGCCTCCCCTGTTGGGACGAGGAGTAATCATTACACCTTTTAAATATATGGATAATGAAAATATATTGTGTTTTAATTTTTTATTGACAGAAATAATTAAAAAAATGTGTTAAAACACATAAATTATATTATATAATCCTCTAAAAGGCTGTGAATTACAACTTAACCCCCCCCCCCCCACGCCCCACCCCTTTCTCCTCCTCCCTCTCTACCCCCTTGATTTCTCAAATTTTTCTTGAGATATAATTGCTGTCAGTTTATATAATAAAAATTCTCTTTAGCCTTGAAAATGACTTTCTCTTGAAAAATGTGCTACCATTAAACAGAGAAAAATCGAGCCATATTGGAAAGATGTTCGTAAAAATACTGGAATTAAAAGCTCGACCAGTAGTCTAACCCCAATTAAATAAGAGACTGAATGGTTTCAAGAAGGG